TAAAATTTATAATGTTATATAATAATACAATAATTGTATAATATATAATATGTTATCTAACCCAAATAAAAAATGTTGCCCTAGCATTCGGTGAAAAGTAAAGTGACCAAACCTAGAGCACATGCAGAATTCCACCATTCAGGACCTCCTACAGGGCTCTTGCCACACCTGGCGCTCAGGTGCTTTACGGTCCTCACCAGGATCTTCCCCAATCGGCAAAGTGCGGACTGACGGTGCACACCACGACAAAACCGAAGCAGAAAACCAGATCTAACTCATTCAGGCTGCAGATCAGAAACTGGGTTTGAGCACAGTGCGCACAACCAGCGGAAAAAGAAACGTGTTTGAACAAGATGGAAATCAGCCGGCACGATGATGATGATGCACCAGATCCGAGTTACTGCACCACTGCCTTTTTGAAAACGATCCTGTGAGGATATTCTGAACATGACACTTGCCACTGCTTGGTACTATTCAGTTACTATTCTTTCAAAAGACAACTGTGTGAACTATTATTTTTATGGATGAACTTACCAGTATCTCATGTCTGAAAGATACTCACCTCTATGAGGCTGGAGTGTATTCCAATCAGGTATGGCATTGGGGCACTAAATTAAAAATACACATGTATATATTCATACGGTTCATTAAAACTGGAACAACAATGTAAGTCATTCAGAAAGCTTAAAAATTAAATTTATTAAATGCATAATTCTAATATAACACATCATAGGCATTTAAATTACTCAATACAGAGAACTCAAATTTAACCTTAGAGACCATAAATATATTCAAATTAAGGTTGATTTACATAAAAATTACAAAATCGTTTATAATTAAATCAAGAGTTATAATGTTTAAAAAAACCTGCTTTTATTGAAGAAGAATATTAAGGTCAACTATTAGTCTAGTTGAATCTTTTCCATACACTTCTATCCCAAATATCCTCAATAAGCATCTAACTTATTCACATTTCTTTCGCCCAGTTTTTTATTCAACTACATTCTTCTATGATTTTCTCTACATGTCATCATTGTTTCACACCTACTACGCCACCACAGGCTCACTGAGACCTACTGTGTGCCAGCACTGGTGGGAACAGAGGTGCGAAGATATACACCCGCCTCCGTTATCATTCCCATGCCGTCCCCCTACTCATGTACCTCAGCTTTTATTTAAATTTTGCCTGTTCATTTTATCCCACTTTCAATTGTCTTAATAACATAATTTTAATAATAAATAAATAATAAATTTTAAAATATTCAAATAGGCTTAAAAATGATACTGAATTAATTAATTCACACAGTAGTTGAAGTATATCCAGGGGCCAGGGCCTGGGTGAGGGGTTAGGGCACAAAAATAAACCACACAGACGGAACCTTCTCCCTCGTGCAGCTTACACTCTAGCAGGGAACACAGAGCTTATACGGCACAAACAATACAGACGAAAATAATTTTTTGCAGTTTATAACAACAGACCTACTAGCAATTGCAAGAAGATTTCTCATTAAGTACCAGTAGGGAATTATTCAACTTGACATTTCAAAACTGAAACATTATTTAACAAGAAAACATGAGCATGAACAGATGTCTACAGATGGGGTAGAAGATATGCAGATAAATAGTTATTTAAAAATAAAACATTTTAAAAATAAAAATAATAAAATAAAATAATAAAAAATAAAATACATTGGAATTCCTGGAACACAAAAGAAATTTAAAAATAAGACATTTTTGGCGTTTCTTTTATAAACATCTTTGTTATATTTAATGCAAACCCTCTTTGTTAATGAAAATAGATAATCTTTTTCAAAGTATTTGCATAATTTCCCAAGTATCACTGTCATTATTAGAACAGAGCTGTCCAGACTCCTGCATGTCCACTTTGCTTCTGAGACCCAGAAACAGATAAAACTAACAGGCACCTCGATAGATTCAGTTTCCAAAGCAACCTCAAACAGTTCCTAATTTACTTAAGGACGGCTAGCCACTAATGCATACATCCAGAATTCTCAAAAAGTAAGAATGGTTAAATTTCTCATTTTATTCCTCAGTAGCCTGCTCAATACGTCACATTGCACTGGATTCTAATTCCCAGTTACCTCTGTCTTCGGCAGTTTTGTTCCTTCCTATTTTTAAATTTTTTTATTTTTATGCAATTGACCATCTGGAACTGATCTGATATTCTGGATACTTCATTTGACTGAAAGCTGAGAACTATTTATAGGGCTTGATACCCTTAAGACCTAACAGATTTTCTGCTTCAAAAGGAAACAGAAGGAATGAATGTGGCCTGTTCCACTTCCGCTCACAGAAAGGAAGGCTAGGTACTTCCCGAGCTCAAGCCCTCATCTCCGGAATTCCTTCTGGGACACAAAAGATATAAAACATGTGCCACCAACCACTCTGGGATCCCACCACTGGCTTCAGGCGACTTGTACAAAACAAGGCAGGCGACTCCCAAGCTCTCTCACATGTGCAGCCTTGCCCACACCTAAAACAGCATAAATTAATTAAGGCTACTGTGTGGTTTTCCCACTGGCCTCAGGTTAGGTTATCCTGCCCTCAAGATGTATAACACAGGTAGCCCGTGGCATCTCACATCTCAAAGCACGTTTTAGTGTTGAGTGCTAATAAAAACATTTAAGCCTTCAAAAATAGTAACTACTACACCCATTTTACATATGTTGAAGGAACATGGGAGTGGGTCAGATTTTTAAAAATCAGAGCCAAAAGTAATAACTAACCAACCGATGTCCTACAAAACACTTTGAAGATAACACTTTAAAATCTTTATGAAGGCTAGTTATCTCTTGAAACATACAGAAATTGTTAAACTAGGATAAAAGTCCAGTAAAGAATTTCCATGCAGAACTAAATAATAAAGTAACCTGGAACTTCTTCTATGAGACCACTGGGTCTCTGTGTTTTTATCTCACTAATATCTAAAAAACCCAAAATATACAGGTGTTAGACTGCAAACATCATTAATCTAGAGCACACTTTCCTAAAGCAATTACGTTTTCAGAATGTAGATTTAACTAAATAGTTGTTTTTTTCTCATGGAAACTGGACTGCGCACATCCCAGATCTCATGGGAAGTAATCTCGCTCTCCTAGCTGGAGTCGCCCGATTAGATTAGGGCGTTAGTAAGTCAGAAGAGATCCTTGGCGACACAGGTGTCTCATCACCCGTGCACAAAACTGTCCTAGGTCTTTCTGTCAATGAAGTTACTTTGCAAAAATAGAATACAGAAGGCTCTAATACGACTGCTGCTTCTTTTCGGTAGCAATTAATCTTTACTGAAAAATAATTACTATGTAATAGCTTTTTTTGGTTTTAGGTTTTCTTACGGAGACGACCCACGGGGTGGATTGTAACAGCAGTTACAATCTCAGGGCTCTCTAAACAACATAGTTTTCCACCTTTTTAAAAAAAAACTATTCTCTTAGAAGCTGAATCTGTTCCTTTTGTAGAAAGAAGAATCAGACAGACAGCCTAAATAAAAGAGCGACTCAATCAACCCTGAACACAGAAGCAGGTCATGCTCGTACTGGTACTGCAGTCCTGCCACCTGAGGGGCCGAAGGGCTGGAAAATGAGCGTGTCTGGCAACATCACAGACTTGCTGCGTTAAAGTGCTCTCACTTTCTGGCTGGTTTCGGTTTCGGTTTTGTTTCTGTTTTGTAGTAACAATACCTAACACGAGATCTGTCCTCTTAGAAAACCTTCGGTCTGCAGCACAGTATGTGTTATAGACAGGCACAGTGCTACACAGAGCTCCAAAACTTAATCATCTTGCATAACTGAAACTTTGCACCTGTGAGACAGGAACCCCCGCTCCGCCCTAACACTAACACTGGTAGATTAAGGGAGAAATGCAGACGGCGTCACCTCCTCCCAGCAGCCCTCCCTGCCACCCCCTGCCCCCACAGGTGGGTGCCTCTCCCCAGGCGCTCAGATGGGCGTTGCTCTGCATGCCTTGGACACGCACCTCATCCCATTACAGTGCTCCTCTGCTCCTCGTGTGTGCACGTGCAGGGTATGTGCACTCCGTGCCTGTGCATGTGTGCACGGACGTGTGGATTTCTTCCTACCGAGGGCTCTGATGGGGCAGAAACTTAGTCTTATCCATTACGACGTACTCACGACTTGGCAAATACGCGTTTACTAAATGCCTGATGTACAAGTGGGTGGATGAACGAATGAGTGCGCCAACAAGCCAGCAGGCCCCCGTCCGCGGACCAGGGCGCGCTGCTCAGCCACTGTCACAAGATGGCGCTGCGGCTCTCCGAGGGGGTGCCACACCTGCCACCTGCTCCCCGGGACCAGGGCCGCCTCGCATCTGCGAAGTCCAGTCACCTCGGGGAGCGGGCACATACTCCTCTACCCCGTGCGTGTCTTCCTGACGCTACTTTTGGAGTGGAATACAAAATTTCTTCACCCAAAAACCCCGAGATTGAAGGGGTAACCTCGGTGTTTTTCTGCCTTTTGCATACAAATCAGTAGAATTCTAGGACCATTTGCCAAGAATCAAAGGGAAGAAAACCATTTTCCCCACGAAACAGTTTGGTCCATGGGGTTTGCTGACAATGGAAGAGAGCTGGAGTCTTAGACAGTTCTATTTAAAAAACAGAACAAAACAAAACTCTAGTGTACTGCGCACTTCCCGTGCCAGAAGCCGAGCCTGCGCCCGGGACCTCTGGGCCCGGGAGCCGCCAGGTAGCCCTGCGTCCGCCACTGCTGTACCCGCTGGGCCAGGGCAGTGTCTGGCTTGGAAGCTGTGAGGACTTGTCCTACAGGGGCTGTCTCAGAGGTTAGAGACCAGAGAGACTGAAATATGAAACAAGCTTCCTTCACTACAGTAGCAGCAGCAGAGAAAGGACTTGATGGCTGGGTTACTAAGTGTCAGGAAGACCTCTCCGGAGAGAGTCAGCAATGGCCTCTAAATAACAGTATTTCAGAACGTCTCGAGTGTGTCATCACAATAGAGAACTGAAATTAAAGGGGTTGCCTCCTAAGACTTTAGAACATTTTTTATAGGAAAATTAAAATGGCACTAACCTTACATATGATAAAATGTAATTCTAAACCTTATAATTAGGAGTGTTAGTTCTTGAACCACAACCTTGACGTGGATTTACAAAAAATCATATCACTATTTTTTCAAATACTTTTGTCAAAATTATTTAAAATAAGTACGTTTTAATTACTAAGTACTACTTGCAAAGATCTACTGCACACGTTTGGTGTGAAAGAACTGAGGTTCCTGCCTTCAAGGATGCTAATCCATTCTAGGTTTGCTGGTCGGAGGAAGAAGCTCTAAAATGAATACCAAAGAGCTATTTCTAGATCCAGCTTGACTCTCAGCCTTGTGTGTGTGACGCTTCGCAATGTAACGAAACTGCACACCTACAGTCTCCTGCCAAGCTGCTTCTCCCTCCCAGGACCCCAAGGGCAGGATGGCAGCAGCAGGTCGTTGGAAACCTCCTTCCCAGCATTATCAAGACTACTGATGCTACTGGGCTGTGGACACAACACACTGGCATAATCAGTATGTGGCCAGATACATGTGTTGTTATTAGAATCATCTGTTCTAGAAAGGGCTAGCTAATCGTGGAAACTTGATAGGTAACTTCAATGCATGAACTTAAATCATTTCAATCCTTAAACACTTTAGGTGATCTGCTTTTCATGAAATAAGAAAGTTAAATAAATAAATTCTTTGATTCTAAACGAGCTTTGTTTTTCAATAACATTAGTTGTGATATAAACAAACACATTACGGTCAAAATCATTTCCTCATGTGTGTGTGTGCATATCTGTGTGTGTGTGTGTGTGTATCTGTGTGTGTCTCTGTCTATCTGTGTCTGTGTGTGTGTGTCTGTGTCTGCGCACATACATGGTTCAGAGGAAAAAACTCTCATCTGATTTCGTAAGAACTGAGCTCCGCCTGCAGAAACGACTACTCTGCAGTCCTGAGGAAGGTCCCGGGCCGCTGTCTGGGGGGTCTCACCCTTGTCTAAGCTCACCGTGGGTACACAGGGGTGTCCCAGAGGCGCGGCTGAATTCAGACTGGGTGAGATCACTGGGAGACATGTCCAACGCCAAGAAGCTTCTCAGAATTCCTCCCAGCACTTTCAACACTGCTTCTCATAGTGGCTCAAGGCTGATACTCGGATGGAAACAAGGAACTCAGGGAATTCCTGAAGTAGAGGCAGCCCCTCCGCCAGCCTCTGGTACTGGGGGTGCCACTGAGGGAAGAGGGTAGCGGAAAGTGGGTCCCAGGGGGCAGGTCACGGAAGCGTGCTCCGACAGAGACAGTCTGGTTTCTGACAGACTGCAGACGAGTCCTGACACCTGGGATGTGGGTTCTCTGGTCGACACTGTAACTTCTGTAAAATTGTCCTGACCATAACCAAGACTGTGTCCGTTTCTATGTATGCATTTGCTTATCAAAATGGCTGTAGAAGAAACTCACAAAATCTAAAGAACTTTATGTTGGCCAAGTATAAATTTTTGTACCTTTGGAAAGAACTACTCTGCCCTTCGTAAAACCACCTTTTAATATTTGTTACTAACCTCCAAGTCAAGTTTCAGAGATTCCATTCATATATATGTGCATTTGTGCTCCAAGCTTACCTAATCTCCAAACAAACGGATCAGCTCTGACCGCCAAGCCTGGGTTTAGGGGAGTCTGGCGGAAGCCAGCTTACCAGCAGTAGTCCAGCAGGTGTGGAGGGAGGACTGGGATGAAGATGTGCTGCCAGTGCATGGGGTACAGCAGGGCGGCCGAGCCGTGCAGACAGGCAGTTAACTGAAATTTGCAAAAGGAGAACAACAGTAAGTGGCCGCTGACCCTCCGAAAAAAGCCACACTTAAGTTACCAGAGACTGATGGTGATCAGAAAACTATTTAATGACCTAAATCATGTTATCTTGACCAGTTCTGCCTGTAAAAAGTCTTATGTTTCAGGAAAAAAATGTATAAACAGCAAAGTAGCTTCTTGGGCACCTTATGTAGACAGTTATAACCACCTGAATATATAGTGTTTGGGGTCAAAACATAGGACATAAATAAGAGTAAAACTGAAAACCCAGGCAGCATCCTGGAAGGGACTGTAGGGAACTCCAGCCCGTGCAGCAGTCCGCGCATCACTCAGATTAATGCGTGTCGATTAAATATGGAAAGGAAGAGGGGCTGAAAGCTCCTGGGGGATATCATTAGGGCAAATTGCCAAAGAATGAAACATGAGCCAGTCAGGAGAGGCTGGGAGCTGCGGCAGCACCAGGGGACTTGACGTTCGACAGTTGGAGCCTCAGTAACGTGTGAACCGCGGGTTACGGTATCAGGAGACTCTGTGCACTGACACAGAGAATGTCACTATTGACCAGCGAACTGCCCAAGCTTGAAAGCTGTACTCCAGGAAGCCAAGGACATCATAATTTCATATTTAAACTGCTCATTTCAGATTAACATTGTGTTTCCTAGCTTTGTACCACAACAGCTGCAAACACACGGATGCCACTTTAAAGGTAACTGCCATTTTAATTGTTCTGTTTTGGCAAGCAGTTAATTAAATGTTTTTTAATGCTTAACAAAGGGATATCACTTTTTTCCCCCTCCCTCCTACTGACCCTCATCAGAATTCTTTCCCTGTGACTTCGTTTCCATTTTAAATTATATTTCTGTAAGTGTTGTCATTTTTTAGCATTTAAAGCAATAATTAAATCAGCATTCTTCCCATCATTTTAAAGTTTTGCCAGTCTGCATTTTCAAGACATGTAATGAATAAATTAAGTCATTTTATTCAACTTGGAAATCAGAATTTAAAAATAAAACATCTGAAAATGAACCACAGAAATTCTATAAACCATTATTTCTGTGACACAAATGAATTAAAACTTACACGTTAATCAAATTAATTCAAAAGGACAAATGTAAACAAAGCAATTCAACCTTAATAGCAACATTTGTCTATACTTAAGTGCAAAACAGTTCCACTAAATTAAAAAAAATCAATTAAAATAATGAAATCTAGACCAGAAACATAAATGTTTTGATTAAAAGTATATTCATCTTTGTCATATATATTGTATTTTTCCAGTTACATTTTAAATTAATTTTATATTGCAAAAAATGTATTTCTGTTCCACTTAGAATGCTATCATTAAAGGGCTTTAGTACTTCACAATTTTAATAGTTTATCTGCAGCATGACTTCAATGAATACTATTTTTAAAATTCCTTAATTAGAGCATACAGCATACCACTAGGAGGCATTCAAATACTTCTATTCAACAATTACAGATCATGATTTATTTATCTTACATATTTGAACTAATGAAAATAGGGTCGATCTAAGTTGTGTCAGTTCTTAGCGTTCACGTACCCCTGACTATAAATGAGGCAGCTTTCCGTGCTTCAGTGCAACCCGATGGGCTAAGTAAAGGCACTGGAAATGGAGCTGTAAAGGCAGCTTGGTTTACTCAACTTCTCCATCTGCACATAGATGACTTTTAAAACAGCTCATTTAAAACTTCTTTAAAAAGGAAAGTATTCTTTTTAGTGTTGAGAAAATTAACAGTGTAACAAGAGGGAAAATGCATTCTCAAAAATGCGGAATTGTAATAAGGGTAACTTACTTTACTGAGCACACCCAGAGTCCAGAGCACTCTATTCAATGCTACAGCTGCCTCCCCTATGCCCTTAATGTCACCCCTAAGTGAAGCCAGGAATTTCTCACAACTAAGGCACCGCACCACCTGATGAATTTGGCCAGTTTCTTAGAAGACGGTTTCTGCAAGAAGCAAAGTCACTAACTCCCCACAGAGGCCGGCATTTGGCAGAGGGTCACCTCCGCTAATCAAGATCTACCGGGAAAGAAGGAAGCTCTACACACTTTGGCAACTTTTTAGCTACAGGAGGTCGGTGAGAGAGGTAAAAATACTACCCTCTAAGCCACAGTTTCTGGTCTAAGCCATTAGAATAAATTACTTAAAGTAATATAACAAAAGTGTCAGGTGCGGGTGGAACAATAAGGAATTTGCTCTTCAAATACTGTTTCTGTTAACTATGAGCGAACTATGAGTTAACTGACTCTGTTAATTATGAGCCATTCAGGTGGAGATTTCCAAAGAAAGCAAAAACATACCAAAAAATAGCCCCCATCCCCTAGCTGGCAGCATGTAATAACCGTTGTAACTATGTGATTTAAAGAACAGAGACAATACTGTTATAGGACATACTCTGTAGGGCAGATAGTAAAGTTGCCAGTAAAAAAATACAATTAATAAAAAATAAAGCTACTGGAAAATTAAACAGAGTTATACGTAAGTTGTATAAGGTAACAACAATGAAGTGTATCTCAGGCAAACTAGGGCGCTGCCACTAAAGGTGCATGACTCTGGACTCTGGCACATCTGCGAACATAATCAGATCTCAGTTTCCTGGTCCTTAAAACAAGAAATATATGCTGGATGATCTGCAGACACTGTCTCTGAGAGATCCAACATTCTTTATTCTTAGATCAGATCAATTCTAACATTCTATATTTTCAGTAACAGTTAAGAGTTGTTTTTTCCACGCTAGGGGTTAATGGAACATTTTAATTGGACTATAATTCAGATCCACCTTCAAATTTTATCTAAAGATAACCTCTAAAAGCTTTAAAGCACCTTAGGTAATTGTACAACTGGACTGACTATAAGCATTTACTTGCTTAATTCAACAGTTTTTGAGCACCTGCTCTGTGCTATCATAAATCTCAACTAGGCAACAGGAACACAAGAACAAGTCTGTTTTCATGAAGCCAACGTATCAGTGAGGAAAGCAAACAGTAAACAAGTGAAATGCACATTACGTCAGTCAGAGGTAAATTCTACGAAGAAACCTAGAGCAGAGTGAGAGGACAGAGAGTGACAGAGGGGAGGAGTAGAGACAAACTCAGGTAGCCACATCTAACTGAGAAGGTGCTGAAATAAGGGAGCGAACGCTGAGGACCTGCAGAAGGGCGTCCCAGGCAGACGAAACACTGCGTTCAGAGGTCCGGAGGTGGGCGTGTGCTTGGCATCTTCCCAGAGTAGCAGGGAGGCCAGCTGATTAGACTCGAGGAAATGGGGGAACAGAGGGAGAGGAGGTTCCGACAGGGAAGTCGGGCCGGGGCTGGAGAGTCTCCTGGGACTCAGCGAAGACCTTAGATTTCATTCTGGATGAGATCAGTTCACATCTCTGAAGAGAGTGCTAGCTGTCACAGCAATCCATTTACCTAGAACATTTCCAGACCCATGCAAATTAAGGAACATAAATGACATATTTCAGGAGATCCGTTTGCACAATAAAGTACTATAAAGAAATGAGATCAAATGGACTACACTCTATAAAAATATTGGACCACTATGCTGTACATCTGAAACTAATATAATGTTGTAAACCAACTATACTTCAATTTAAAAAAAAGATCCATTTACAAGCCAAGTAAGAAGAATCGTCTTACTTTCAGGTCACCTATGATACATTGAATCCTTAAACTCAAAGGGAAATGACAACCATATTCCTTTGGACTAGAATTACCCAAGATTCTACGTCTGGCTCACAACAGGGCCAGAACTCGGCATCACTCTTCCAGCCTTCTGTCGGCTGCCTCTCTAACACCACCGCTGTTTTCACAAAAGCAGAGCAGGCGGAGAGAGTCTCAGTGTTTGGGGTAGAACATACCCCTGGCGTTACATCCTTGCAACTGAACAAACACACTGCTATACATTTTCAGAGAAAAAAAATGTACCAAATAAAGATTTACGCAAAGGATATCCCTACCATCTTTGTTAAGTGGTTCAGGAATATTCTAATGCATGTATAACTTCATAAAGCACACTCAATATGTTGAGCTGATAAAGTCCCAAAGTATTGACTAATACGAGATAAAAATCATCGTGACATTAATTTCCCACACACTACAACTGTAACGTAAGTACATGTGCACACCGTGTGAAAGAGACAAGAACTGGGGCCTGTGAAGTCCGAGGGAGAAACCTGGCAACAAAGGTTGGTAATAGCGCACTCAGTCATGGATTGAAGGCACCTGGAGCGTGCAGTCCAGTCCCAGGCCACAGGTCCAATGGAGACGCTGTCACTGATGACAGTTACAACAGCAAACGTCCCTCTGATGCTAGCCCCGTGCCAGGCACTGTTCTCAGCACTTGATATGTGCAGATTTAATCCTCCAACAACCTTATGAAATAGGTACTATTATCATTATTCCCCATTTACAGACCAGGACGCTGCAGCAAAGCTAAACCAATTGCCTGAGATCATGCAACCAGCAAACGGCAAAGCCAGGACTCCAATCCCAGCAGGCTCCAGAGTACAGTAACCATTATTTTAACCTGCCTTTAATATACAAAGATTCAAAACTGCCATCATTATAAGGCTTTGAATAATATATACTGGCTGGAAGTATTTTACCCTAATTATATAGTGGAGAATGAGTCTTTGAACAGACAAATAAGAACAGTTGACCTTTATATGAAAACTGCAGGGTCTATGATAGAGATACAATTTACAAACCCTTCCTCAGGCATCAGTCTGGAACTTCAGCAGGAAAGCAACAGAACAGGTTCCCTCAAAAATGTCAAAAACATAAGATAATTGACAAAAGCTCTACAAACCAGCATCTCAATCTGCATCTGCAGGTATATTTAGTTGGAAGCCAAACCAAAGCTCTTTCCCTTTGTGATGTGAAACCTCACTTACATCTTTTTCTTAAAGTTAATCTACCTATTTATTGGAGGACATCCGCCTACTAATGAAACTACACGTT